TACAGCGTTGGAGTTGTATCAATTTTAATGGGCTTCTCCTTCACGAGGAAAGAGTTAGCCCAGAGATTGCAGCTCCTGTTTCTGTATCAATTCCCCACACTGAATTCTCCCATTCGCCTGCTGCAGCTCAGCCCTCAGGTGTCCTGCAGCTTCCTTCTTCATGATAATGTTTCTTCCCACCCATCTCCTTTGAAGTCTCAAGTCTTACTCTGCAGCATCCAGTAATTCATGTAATTTCCTGACTTAATGAGGTTCAAAAAAAAAGGTTAATGAAGACAACACGAAGGAGGATAAGAGACAGACGGTTGCTGAAGATGTGACAGGACATTTGCAAGCTACCTAAGGAAGAGCAATCTCTAAGAGTCAAACATCCTCATCCCATTCCAAGGTAAATCCTGGAATGGGAGCACCTGAAGCAAAGCTTTCCTGTGACAGTTAATATATCCTTTTGACCAGAGCAACCAAGAAGCACAGTCATCAAATTATCCCCTGATAAATCCAAGAAAGACTTACCGTTCACCAACACAAGTGAGTGAGGGAGTAGACAAATGAACTGATGCGGGCATCAAAATGCAAACCTTTTTATATGGCGTGAGTGGCGTCACCTCCGGAAACAAGGGAGCCCAGGGGAATGGAGACCTGACCACTAACAACCTGCATAGGCTCCACCTGCACATGCTTTACATATTTGTCTACAGCCTAATTTTTGATGGAAACCTTCTTCCAGGCAAAACATGATCCTGAGCAAATCCTGCTTCCACTTATGCATATGTCACGCGGTACCCAATGGGAATGAGACAGTAATTGGAAAAAAATTGTGTAAGTATGAGATGAATTGCTTTTCCAAGAAGATTTAGTATGCCTGGATATATTCATCTCATTTTGTCCATAAATACCTGAACAATATCTTTGTTGTTTTTTTTTCAGTAAAGTAAGAACAGACAGCTATTATTAGGGTACGTGGGTAATTGATCTGATTTACTATGAGAAACATTGCATCCTACTTCTCATAGTAAGAGAGACCTAATTCTACAGTGTTCCACCAATGCTTCCAGTATATATTGAGATTTCTGCTTCTCCAGTACCTTTTTGGCCACCAAATGTTCTTCACCCACTCCTACCCACTGTTGCCCTATTAGCAACATTCATACTTGGCAATGCCAATAGGGACACAACTCCAATGGGGACCTCTTCAAGCTATTGAGGTAATAAATAGAAAAGGGGGACACATTTTAAGGCCTATTTTTCATTGTCAGAGCAGTATAAAGCACTTCATTTTAAACACAATTTAGGCCCAGGGCTCGATGTAAGCTATTAAAGCCTTACCTAGCCATGGTACACCACTCAGATACACAGCACAAAAAACCCTCATTTCTCCAAAATGTTCCACTCATGGAGATGGAATGTCATCACTAAGCTATGTGTAGGCAGCCAACTACATCACTAACAAAAAAGCTGAATGGGCAGAAAAAAAGCCAACAACCCATTCAGCATCTATGCGTGATGCATCCTGTTTATACTGGACACCAGGATCACAATGGAGAATGACATTCACCAGCACCAATTCCTTTCTGGTGTTTACATGGGGAACATGAGTTCCTGTCCTGAGCCCATTTGAGCATATTTGCATTGCTCCTGACATCCTCCCAGCAGCACCTCATGGTTCATACATTCTTTCCGCTCCTCTCTTCTTTTGCAGCAGGGATGTGGTGCATCACATGCCTTTTTTCCCCCTAGACTTGAACTACAGCTTTTGTAAGAGATAGGAATCATAGAATCATGGAATCATAGAACCAGAGAATAAAAGAATCATAGAATCATAGAATGGCCTGGGTTGAAAAGGACCACAGTGATCATCTACTTTCAACCCTCCTGCTATGTGCAGGGTTGCCAAGGAAGAAATGGGAATGTATAAGGTCTGGTTTGCTCATGTTAGGCATCTGTTTCAGAGTGAGGGAAAAGATCCATCAAGTAGATCCCACAGATTGTAAAACATACAGAGAGCAGCTAGCTGAGATTCAGGTGCTCAGTAGTTTGGTGGAAGAACATCTCCCCATCTCCTCCTCCTGGCACTAACCCACTAACCCTCCTCCATGATGCTCAAAAAGCAGGCACCCTCCACCACCCCAAGGTCCCTTCACAGCTGCTGCCAGCATCACTTATCTCACTGAGGAGATTCTCCAGGACTGGTTTGTTCCATTCTCCACACTTACCCAGAGCTCCAGGCTCTCTTCTGAAACCAATGGTGAGGGCTGGTCCTACCTCTCCCTTTTTATACTGTGTTATTGTATACCCTATTGTTACATTTGATTAGCAAGAAATTGTAATGAGTTCTGGGAGAAATAGATATTTTAGGAGATATAAATTGATCCATATTTGTAATGGGTTGGAACACCGGAGTGCTGGATTATTATTTTAAATTAGCACTTATTTGTGGATCTCTATTACATTTATGAGCCATTTGGCTGTTTGACTGTTCCCATTAAGTTCAGTGAGTCAGCACTCCGCAGCAATGTCCATTGGTGGCCATTTTGGCTGCGCTACTTTGAGCCATTCAGTGAGAAAGAACTGTTTCAGAGGCTCCTGAATACTTTAGAGATAGGACACCTGTGGATTTCTTTTCATCCTCTGCTTTACCCAAGAGCCTCCTAAGTAAGACTTCTTCCTCTGTTGCATCCAGCACTGTTGGCATCAAGGATTTCGTACACAACTGGAAGAAGCTTTGTGTCTGTGCAGCATCCCTTTCAGCACACCACCCATATTTTGATGTACAGAGCATTTCCATGGGAAATAAGGATTCTCCCTCTGTTCCTAGCGCAGCAAGGACTTCCCTGCATGCTCTCCTGTGATTACATCTTTCAGTCTGGGGCTTCATTACACCCGACTTTCCCCTCCCATCATTCCCCACCAGCAGAAAGGCACTCAGCACCAGGGAGCTTTCCCATGGCTATTGCTGGGCTTTGGAAATCCTCACATAGCTGAGATGCCAACAGGCTGAGTGCAACGCAATTAGCATCACATGAAAACAAGTGGCTTGTCTAGTTCATGCCCCAGGGACTGTTTGATCAAGTAATGAGATCGTTACTTCTGGGCCAAGAGGAACCCCAATCCAGCACTATCCACCTCTTTTCCTGTTTACTCAGGAAGGTGAGTGCTCCGTGAAGAATGATAAGTGTGCAGCTGGATGCCATTAAGGCTGAAAAAGAGGAACTAGCTTTTGCCTTCTGACTATTGCAAATCCTTGCTTTGATTTTCCAACACTCAAGAACACGAATCTGACTTTTCTTTCCTGAATAAATCTGTGTTCTGATCCCTGAGGAGTGTATTTCAGAGCTCAGAGCACATTAGCTGGCCCAAAAAAGACTGAAGGCTGTTAATAACTGTTATAATAGTCTCAGAGCCACAGACTTCCAACTAACCAGCATTCCATCAAACTTGGGAGCATGACCAAAGATAATCCCTGCTTGCACAGTGAGTTTTGGAGGAGCCTTGGAGCCATGCCAGATCTCCACAGGGGGGTAATTAGCCAGCTCTGATTGGCTTGGTGCCTCTGTGGTGTAGCAATGGGACTCAGGCAGCACCTGAGCACTAGGTGAGGACCCTGAGTACTGCCTACCAGCAGCAGAGCTGTGCTCTGTAGGGAGAATGGGACCAGGAGAGGCAAGAAGGCAGCGTGATTTGCACGTGGGCAGCATGACCTGCATGTGGGCAGCATGATCTGCACAATGCCAGACCTCCCATAGCGTGCAATGCCACATCCCTGGGTAGGACTGAGCTCATCCCACTACTGGTCCAGCTAACCCAGACGTGTTAATTGCAGGTTAGTCATCAGCCTCACACCCTGGGGCACCTTTAAGAGCAAAGCAGTGGGTGTCTACAGACAGAGGTGCACCCACACTGCTGCTCAGTGGATGGGTGGCTGCCTCCCTCCCTTCTGCAGCTGCTGCTGAGCTCCCTGCAGCATCTCTACCCAGAGAACTGAGGAGCAGTGTCCTTGGCACAAGCAATGATGGGGCTTTGAGTTCTTGGGCAGGCTGCTCATTCTCAGACTTTGTAAACAGATTTGGTGCTAAAGAGGAATCCCTTGGATCCTTGTCAATCAATGTTCATGGAGGGCTACAGAAATTGCCCAGGACATCTTGCTCACTCTGACAGCATTTCTGCAGAGTTCAGTGACAAGAAAATCCCTGTCATTGTGCCTTGGTGAGATGCACCCATCCACAAACAGAGATGAGGAAACACAAGTGAGCTGCAACAGGCCAAGTCAGGACCTCTGTACACAGGTAGCAGGGTCATAAGGCACAGTCTCTCAGTCCTGCTCGTCTTCCCCCTCATTAGTGGCTCATTTGCCCGTTGCTCTGAAGGGAACATTTAGCTCCTCCACTTCAGCATGTTTCCTCAAGACACACAGCACCCCTTTCCCAGCCAGCATCTGGGGAAGCCTGGATGAGTGCTGGGTCTCTGGGTACTGCCTTACATCTTGTCACACCTTCCAACAAGAGCTACTACGCAGAGATTACTCTTTTAGGTAGAAATTAAGAGAGCGTGTGAGAGTGGGGGAGTGCAAAAGAGAATGAGAGCTTGCAGACAGCTGGTGCCAAGATCAAGTGTTTTATTGCTTTGTTTAAGAAAAGGAGATGATGGCGAGGAAGGACAAATTCCTCCAACCACATCACTGTAGAAAAGAATGACAGAATCTCTCACCCAGGCAAATAATCCTGGGGGCACAAAATCAATTGGTTACATGTTACAAGGAAAGGCATTACTCTTTAGATAAATCTATTATATATGATGCAGAATGCAAGGAAAACCATGTGAGGATCTGCCCTTCCTCGGACAGACAGGGCACGAGGAGAGCCAAGAGGTGAGGAAAACATCAGAGGGTTCAGGAGGTCTGCAAACTATTTTCATTCCGTAGCTGCTGGGGCTGCACAGAGCAGGGACACAACAGAGGGATCCCCTGTCAGCTCCCATTGTAGGACCAGCCCTTAAGGAGCCATTCACTTGCGGCAGCAGATGTCAGCACAGCTGATGGAGTAGTGCCGGCCACAGACACTGGCACACAGTGGGGTGGGCCTCGCAAAGCAGGGGGGAACACAGGGATCCACACACGTGGAGGTGCATTGGTTTGCATCCTGGCAGCAGGGATCTACGCAGGTGGTAGTGCACTGGGTCGCATCCTGGCAGCAGGGATCTGCACACCTGGTGGTGCACTGGATCGCGTCCTGGCAGCACGGGTCCACACACGTGGTAGTGCACTTGGTCTCCCCTCTACAGCAGGGATCCACACACGTGGTGGTGCATTTGGTCACCTCCTTGCAGCAGGGATCCACGCATGTGGTGGTGCACTTAGTGGCATCCTGACAGCAGGGATCTACGCACCTGGTGGCACACTTTGTCACCTCAGTGCAGCAGGAATCTACACACGCTGGGGTGCACCTGGTCACCTCCTTGCAGCAGGGATCCACACACCTGGTTTGGCAGCCGGTCACCTCCCTACAGCATGGATCCACACACTTGGTCACTCTGCCACAGCAGGGATCTACACACCTGGTGGTGCACTTGCTCACTTCCCCACAGCAGGGATTCTTGCACCTTGCACACTTGGTCATTCTGCTGCGGCATGGATCCACACACTTAGTGGTGCAGCTGATCACAGCTCCGCTGCACGGATCCACACATCTGGTGGTGCACTTGGTCACCTCACGACAGCAGGGATCCACACACCTCCTGGTGCACCGGCTCACTTCCTCACAACACGGTTCCACACATTTTTTGCTACATCGGGTCACTGCTCCACAGCAGGGTTCCACGCATCTGGTGGTGCACTTGGTAGTTCTGCCATAGCATGGATCCACACATACAGTAGCACATCTGGTCACAGGTCTACAGCAGGGATCCACGCATCTGGTGGTGCACTTGGTCACTTCCTCACAGCAGGGAGCTGCACATCTGGTAGTGCACCTGGTCACCTCCTTGCAGCAGGGATCTACACATCTGGTAGTAGTACACTTGGTCACTTCCTCACAGCAGCGATCTACACATCTGGTGGTGCACTTGGTGACATCCTGACAGCAGGGATCCACGCATCTGGTGGTGCACTTGGTCACTTCCTCACAGCAGGGGTCTACACATCTGGTGGTGCACTTGGTGACATCCTGACAGCAGGGATCCACACACCTGGTGGTACACTGGGTAGCATCCTGACGGCAGGGATCCACACATCTGGTGGTGCACTTGGTGACATCCTGACAGCAGGGATCCACGCATCTGGTGGTGCATTGGGTTGCATCCTGGCGGCAGGGATCCACACATCTGGTGGTGCATTGGGTTGCATCCTGGCGGCAGGGATCCACACATCTGGTGGTGCACTGGGTAGCATCCTGACAGCAGGGATCCACACATCTGGTGGTGCACTGGGTTGCATCCTGGAGGCAGGGATCTACACATCTGGTGGTGCACTTGGTGACATCCTGGAGGCAGGGATCCACGCAACTTGTAGTGCACTGGGTTGCATCCTGGAGGCAGGGATCCACACACCTGGTGGTGCACTGGGTAGCATCCTGACAGCAGGGATCCACACACCTGGTGCTGCTGCATCTGGTCACATCCTGACAGCAGGGATCCACACGTGTGGTGATCCCAAGGCAACAGGGATCCAAGGCAATCTGCCTCAAGTCACAGCTACCAAGCTTCAGGTATGTTGTGGTGCCCTGAGGAACCCTGGCGTAGTAGCAGGGATCTGCACATGTGTTCAGGCATGGGATGCTGCAGGGATACACTCTCCTACTGACGGGCAAATTCCTCACCAGGACGACGTGAGGTGGGAGGCAGGGCTGTCTGCGCTGGCAGTAGGTCTGGCGAAACATGGCTGAGGGAGGAGGAAAGTCTGAAAGAAGGAGAGGAATACCCTGTGTGGAAAACAGAGGCACTCATCTTTCATAAGGCTGTTTTATGCAGTGAAGTACCCTATATTTTTTCCCTCGGAATACTGAGCAATGTGTTGGGAAAGAGCACTGAAATCACAGCAGGGCACTAACTCCACATGGAAACATCTCAGGCACGGCTGCAGCTTCCCACTGCACGTACATCTCAAACTGTTCCTCAAAACTGGAGCGAAAAATGGTGTTAAGCAAACTTGGACAGATTCTATTGCATGGGCAGAAGGCACAACAACCTCCACCTGCCCACAGAAGTCCTCAGCTCCTCTCATCCAGACTCCCTTCCAGGCATGGCTTACCCCGCAGCCTGCGAGGCTCCACTTCTTATCTTCCCTCCCACTTTTGTGCCTTTGAAGTCCTTGCCTTGCCTTTTGATCCTTCTCAAACCCAATAATTTCCTGGTTAAAACAGGGCAGCACTGTGCCTGGGAAAGGGGAAGGTTGGTCCACTCTCAGCTGCCCTAAGATACACCTCAATGGAGAAAATACAGCAATTGCAAAACACACAGCAAATAGAAGCTGGAAGAAGGTGGAATGGATATTTACCCTTCGCTTAGCTGCTTGATAAGTGCTGCATACAAGTCTTACTAAGCAGAAGCACTTGTAAGTCTTCTAACTTGCTTCTGCAGGTACCATTCAAAAATCCAATCTCCCCAACCTTTACACTACATCCCAGCAAGCCAAGAGAGACTTACCCAATTCACCACCAGGTACAAGCAAACGAAACCAGAATGGCTTGGGGAACACTACAATATGAACCCTTTTATACGATTTCAGTGTCCGTGTCTCCGGAAGTGAGACACCTCAGGGGTATGGAAATACAATTTTTTAATAATCCAGACCTGCTCCACCTCCAATCCTAAAATTACTTGCTTACATTATAATTTTTAATGAAACCTAGCCACTGAGGTGGTACATGTAACACTATGACAGCTGCCTGCAAGGCTGAATTCCTGATCCACATGTTATGTACGGGAGGTAGGGAACAAACCATTGGTGATACAGCCTGGAAACAACCCCCTTTGGGATTAAACTCATATTTGGATAAATATTACTTTGGTATGTGTTCTCGCACCTTCCACCGTGACGCCATACAGAGCAGGGCTACAGGTAGCATGGCACTATCCTGTGCAAGCATCCATGCTCTTGCTTCTATACTATATTGCTTCTACCAAAAATTGGAGTCTCCAGTGGGCGACTTTGTGTGCTCCTCAACCAAAGGCAGCATTCCAGCCAGACTTGAACATATAGCATTTTGGCAGTAAGGCAGCCAAAGAAGACTTCACACTGTGCAAAGGCTTTTAATGTCACTTAGGTTCCTTGTAGGACACCTCCTGGCGCAGCCCATTCCTCTGCAGTGACGCTGTAGGACAATGACCCACCTCCTGCCTTTGGTGCCCTGACCACAGTAGTGCCCATTTGGGGTTTGTTGTGCCCATATCTATGGTGCAGAGGTCAAACCAAGACCAAGATACACCCTTCATAAAGGATAGCACGCTGTGTGGCACTGCAGCAACGCAATGTGGCTGTTGTTCTGCCTGCCACAGTTGAAGTGAAGGAAATATGTTCTCCTTGGAAATCCCCTGGTTATAAACGAGAATGGAGAGGCAACGAGTGAAGTGCCTCCAAGAGATCAAAGACTGAGAATTTCTTCTGTGCTGGCTCCGAATTGGCCTTAAGTCACTTGTGACACAGACATGGAACCAGTATTACTTGCAGGCAGAGACATGGACATATATCATCTGGAGACAAAGGAGTGCTCTTGTGTCTGCACTCTGCCCTCCCTTTAACTGTGTGCTCACACTGCTGAGCATGCTGATGCCCCATGTAGTGGCTTTTGGTTACTGAAATTGAAATCAAATCAGGATGCGTGACCACTTGGGTTGTCAGTGTTCTGCCGACCACAGTGGTTTGAACTGGCATAATTGAACTGACTTTGGTAAACCAATGGGCTGAATGGGGATGGTGATGGTCAGTGCTCCTGCCAACCTTCTGCTCTTCAGGGGTGAACCTACACCAGGGTAAAGGCAATGTCTATGTGGTGGAAGAGTACTTTGTAATTCAAGTTGGAACTCCAGGAGAAGATGCAAACTATCACGAGACCAGTGATGATACAAGAGTTTCCATGAGCATGTCAGGAGCATACAGCCAGCAGTACCGCATCCAAACAGGACATGGGCAGGGACAGAAGCAGGTCAATCGTGGCTAAAAAGCAAAGAATCCCCCGTATCCCACATCCCATCCAGTACTTAGTGGCCAGTGACGATGTGTTGGGCTGGAGGAAAAACTGAGCTGTGACTGTCCAGCTATTTGCCAGCGAGCCAAGAATCCATTCATTTCCCAAATTCATCCCTGACGTCAGCCCCGCTGGAAGGCCACGTGAATTCACAAGCCATCTTGGCTCACTCGAGGTTATGCTGCAGCCACGGAAATAGCCGGTTTCCATTAAAAATAATTAGTCAAATAATCCATCAGAGGGCAGAGGCGGAGCAGGGCCGTGCTAGGAAGGGCTGCTTGTCTGTGTGCCTGGGGCAGCTGTCTCCAGAGGCCAGGCTCCTGTGTGCACACACAGATCCCAGGCTGAGGCTGTTGGGTCTGCTCGCCATCTCCATGCGTTGATATCTCGCTGGGTGAGTATCCTCAGGCTTTACACATCTAGGGTGTAAGGCTTCCCCTGAGATAGATGACGGTTGTTACTAGCTGCATGACGAGGAATTGCTTGTTACTTCTTCCATCTCGCTGGTGATAAGAGTAATCATTTTCTCCCTTTGCATTTTGCTGTAATTCCCACGGATGCTCTGTGAAATGCTTCCCGGTATCCCAGCACTGGATTTAGAGGCAGAAGCCACACAGCTTTCGTGGAAGGGCAAAGAGAGCACAGCATCGCACACGGCAGCAGCTGAGATTCCAGGTAAGAGCACTGAGCTCCATGGGAAACCTGGGCAGCGACTCCTGGCTCCATCCTGTTGAGCCTCTTGCTGCCTTCAGCAATTAGAAAGGCGGGATGGAGAGGGCTGCTCGAGTTGGGTGTTCTACAAGGATGTTACAGGGTGAGGAGAAAGCACCTGGAAAAGAGAGGGATAGAGAGAAGCACAAAGCTCTGCTAGGAGTGTTAATTAAACCCATCCTTATCTGCACAAGGAAGGGCTGCTGGAGTGAAATTATTTGGCTGAACACTGACTTTAAATATAGAACTTGGGTTTGGGTGTCCGTGCAGAAACACAGCATAACCAAGCTTCTTTTGGTAAGAAATTCCTGTAGACTTTGAAATAGCAAATGTCTGATTTCCCCTCTACTGAGTTTTCCCTTATATCTGAATTGCAACAGGATCAGCACAAACCTTCCTGGGGAGCCTAGCAGTCAGGAAAACAACCATTTGGAAGCATTGGGTTGGTGAACATTGAGTTGTTCTTATTTCCTCCAGGAAGGAAGATGTCGGAGCCATGTGAGCAGTCCTGCCTGCCACCTCCTGCCTGTGTGGGGACAGCTGTGCCCACTGACCTCTGCACATCATGCAGTGTCACTGCACACCCTGACACCTGCTCTGCGCAGAATGCATCTCCCTGTCCCGAGCAGACTGTTGGGGTGGATGTGTGCCAAGCTGTGCCCTCCTGCCCTGATGTCTGTGGCCCTACCTGCCTGCCTCCCACTGTCCCGGCACCTGGGGACATCTGCCACCCCTGCACATCCCAATGTGTCACCACCTGTGTGTGCCCAGCTGAGGACCCCTGTGATCTGCAGCAATGCCAGGCGGAGACCAGCATCTTGCCGCAGTCCTCCACCTCTCCAGCAGCCCCCAGTGCCTCTGAGACAGCGGGGACGTGCGTGGAAGCTTTCACCCCCCAGCACGCCGTGTCACCCTGCACTCCTGAGACAGATGAGGTCTATGTGGAAACCATCCCCGTGCAGCACCCAGTCTTGTCCATGAAGCTTTGCACCCCTGGGGCAGCAGGGACGGATGTGGAGACCTGTCCAAGCCAGCATGGGATCACACCGGTGGAGCTTTGCTTCCTCAAGACAACTGGGACCTGCTTGGAAACACCTCCCCCACAGCACCCAGAACCACTCTGTACCATCGAGGTGCTCGAAGCCAGCACGGAGACACCCCCCACCATCTGCATAGAGGATCTCAGCTGCCCCCAGGCTGCCATCACTCTCCATCCCGAGCAGAGCCCGCTTCCATGCGTGGATCCCTGCACGGCTCAAACCTCGGTGTGCACAGAGCCCCGCAGCTCTGCAGCCACCCAGGGCCCCAGCAGTGCTTCCAGCCCACGGGCACCATTCCGCCTCAACACCCGCACTGCTGCCATCGTGGAGCGCTGCCTGGCCCGCTGTCAGAGCTGGCTACATGGCACCAAGTGAGGAAAGGGCTCTTTGCATCAGCTCCCCTGGTGAGTTCCTGCTTTCTCATCCGTATCAACAGGCGAGGAAACTGCCTCACATTAAATAAAAAATATTTTTCAATCATCAGTTAATTACGCTCCTTATTCTTTATTGCCTCACATGGGCTGCAATAATCACGGCCAAAGTGCAATGCACGTATTAATTGCGTTCTCCAAGCCTCGTTTCATCATCTTCAGCCTTTCTGCTTCCCACATATAAATAACTGCTTTCATAATCTGCCTTAAATTCAGTTAGGATTCTGCCTTTGGGTTTTCTATCTTCTTTTTCTAATGGTCTCTTAGATTGAAATTGTTATGAGAATATTGAGGAAAGTAGCTCAGAGTTGTGATTTTAACAGCATGAGAAAGGTCTTTTAAGGAGATATAAAATGACAGAAGGCTTCCAGGGTGAGGAAAGGGCAAAGGCTGAACAGAAAACTTGCAGTGAACAGCAGAAGAGGAATAGTGCTGAGAAATTGAAGTTCTGCTGCACAATGTCCAGTGAAGTCTGCAGTAAACACTGTATAATTAAAAGTTTTCTGCTCGT